TACGTTAAAGGATAAAATATATTGAAAAGCTTCACCGGAGATTCTTGTACAAAATTATTATGCAGAATTATTATGATAGATTTAACAGTACAATTAGCTATGGCATTTACAATTATGCGAAAGTACACACTGCTAACTTCTAACCACGCCTATCGGAGTATGCAGAGACACATTAGAAAGCTATAACTCAGGATTCGCGCGGATGTAGGTAGTAGATTGTAGTAGACTGCAGTAGAAGGGTTCGCTTAATACGATATACGATAACTGTTTTACGTAGAAAATACAATATAATAACAAAATATTATAAACAGCGGGTGATCGTCGGGATATGTTTGTATTAAATATACATAACAGTAAAAATTTTAATAATTAAAAAATAATAAACATCGCCGTCCGATAATGAAATTGTGTAATTTAATTAAAATACCAAAAATGTAAAATTCCATTTTGTTCGTTAATTATTGTTACATATGTAACATGTTGATTTTAATTAACTTGGGTATAAATCGAATACAAAACGTGTAAAATATATAATGTCCTTTCAGGCACAAATTTCGTTTATACTACTTTAATTTCAGTAGTTCGCTATTGTTTGTACATAAAATAGTATGCTTTTAATATGTTTATTAACGTATGCGTTAATTTATTAACCTAAACGTTTATTAACGTGTATCAATTAAGTATAAATATTTTAACATGTAATTACGTGTTAATGAATTGATGCTGAAATGTGGGGTTTTAATTCGTCTGATATTATTTATAGAGAGCTTTTAGTTTGCATAAATCATTTTCTAGAATTACACTCGATTAAATTTAAGAAAGCGATACCACTATGCATCGCAGTATTGCACTGCTATATACGAGCGGAAAGACAATCCGGCACACGATTTCCTTTAGAATTGATGCACACAACGAATCAGTGCGGTCGGGCAATCGAGAAGCACTTATTCAACAGCTATTTGATCTACATAACAATCCTGTGCAACTTCTACCGTGTAACACAAGAAGAGAAAAGAATAAAACGTGCGAAACTCGAGAGCTAGCTTGATTTCAAAACCTAATCGCAAACAAAAATTGTAATTAACTAATTAAATTCACTCTTATATTTGTTTATTTAAATAATTTTAAAAGAGATCGATAATGGATATATTAAAATCCAATTCGTGCATATTTAGTGCATGTTTACAGTGTTTACACACCGATGTATCTATAAATTAAATATCATTTGTTATCGATTTTCACATTTCAGATGACACTTTGACCATTTATCTGATTTTATGTTTTGTTTTGTTTACATATAGGTAATACGCTATAATAATCAGTTAATATAGATAATATTAATCGCTCATAGTGTGAAAGATTTAATTTCGATATTTATATATTTTAAAATTTCCAATTCTAATTAATCTTCAAAATATATCCTTACATAAGTTCGATTCAACATACAACTTGTACCTGTTTTAAGCAATGCGGAACGAAAGACGTTACCGTCGTATCACCATAGAGAGAGTCTCGGTTCGTTTATAATTAATGTAGTAACGAGTCCTCGTCAAACTAATTACACAGGTATAAACTTGAGTGTGGCACGAGACGGAAACACCGTTAAAAGTCGGCCGATGTGCACGTTATATGCGCGGAAAGTCGCGAAAATAGGAAGAAGTTCGTAATGACTTCGAGACAATTCAGAATACGAAAGTCTTACTTATAAGAACCGTGGATCATTTGCATCGCACCAGTAATTTTGAGCACCTATATACTCTATACTGTCTTCTCTTCCTCTCATTTGTGATTTACATATAATAATACAGATCTAAAGAATATAATTTATATTTAATCAATATCATATTATACGAAGCGGATAATGAAAAACGACTACAGAATGTAAAGCAATTCCTAAAGAGATTTCCCTCTCATTTTATCAACAGATTTCCTAGGCGTGACTTTTTTTCCTTATGCGAGTTCGATACCTATTTTAAAACGAAAGTAGGATAGCGATAATCCGAAATAAATGTATTCAGAATACGTGTTTAAAATATGCGCGCTGAGATGCTTTACATAAATTGATTATTTCATCAAGCAACGGGTGAGTGTTTACGGGCATGGGCACTGTCCTTAAGTAGTTTAAGTCAATCATTCTTCGTACTCGTCCGACACTGGGCGACTGAGAATAAACAGCTGGAACAGCAAACTCATGGATCCTGCATTAGAGAGTAGTTCAAGCAACCGTCTTATTAACATTATTGATCGTGAAACAAGAAATAAGTCTTTTGTTATACTATTAATGAAGTTGCTGTTCCATAGTTTTCTCCTGCATCCGTCGGAATAAACCAAATAATTTTCTTCCACTTTCATTACAAAGCAGAAAATGTTTCACTGATCTGATATATTTAACAACAATGTATATGTATATAGATATAGATATACATATGTATATCTACTACATAGATACACATATATGTAAATCTACTAATTACTTAATAATATAATTAAGAGGAAATATAAGATATATTTAAACTCGCCATATAAACAGATATAATGTGCGCACTTGTAATATAATATTACTGAAAAGTAATATTAGATGCAGACATTAATTAAAATAATATCTGATAAATATCTGATAAATATGATGAGTGCATTGTTAGCATGGAAAATTTGCTATAATGGAAATGCCGAAAATATTATTCATGACATAAATTCCTCCTAAGGCATGTTGGCTCGTTCTCGCAAATATTTGGCATGTTTGATGCGGAAGAACACTTAGGCTCGTCTATCGATGGTACATGCTTACCGGAATTTTCGTTTAATATATTTTTACTCGCGTGGCACGATTTGGCATGGCGTTATTACAACAGACGCGTAACAACCGTGTAAAATCAATAAAAAGTTATTTCACACATATAGTAAAATAAATTGAAAAAGATTTTCAAGATTTTTAAATCAGTTCTTAAATTGAGTTCAAAAATGCGTTTGCAAAACGCATACACTAACAAATGCATACAACTCTCATTTTACTGTATGAAACAATTTGTTCCACTCAAACCCCACCGCACTCTTACTTAGAAAGATTGAATTCCGAAGTGCTCGCAACCAGCGAAATGTTCTGGTACACTGTTTGTAAATGCTTCCTATGCGACTCCGAGCTTTGCTCGAGAGATTGGTGAGTTCAGCAACGATTTATTGATCGCGATACATCGCAAATGCAACGATGCTGATTCCTTCTTTCCTATTTTCTTTTATAACAACTGATATCGACGAACATACATTTCTTTCATAAACGCAAGTTTGTAACTCAAGTAAACGAACGCGCGATAAATGTTTTCATCATTAATGAATTTTACATAAAGCACTAAATTATTTGATTTTGAAGAAGCGAAAATTTACATCAGAAACATATCTACAAAGAAAAATACGTTAATATTGGTATAATTAAAAAAAAAAACTTAACTAAACTGAGATAACATCAGTATACAAATAAATCTTCTCTTTCTTGCAACGCGACAGTAAAATCATTCGCATTGTGTCAATATCAGTATTTACTGGCAACAAAATGTTACCTGTCTTAAGAGCTTCGGCACAATATCAAGTTTCAAACTGTTTCAAAGGCTCACAACTATCAGTTTCTGCTGAATGCTTTCATTGTATCTGTACGTTAAGGATTAGATGCTTTAAGCGCGATAGTTGTATAACCGTATAACCGATCAGAAACAATGCCGTGCGAAGAAACAATACGTCAAAGTGTATTAGAGAACCGCGGAAACTTTAAGTAAAAACTTGAAAGTATACGATAAGACTACATTGTAGCGACCGATTTCAACAATCTGATATACTGTCAAGAACGTGGCTCTGATTAACTTGCAAAAGGTTTTAGGCGTCGCTTCTTGTTTATAAAAAAAATATTAACAAATAAAGTAAACTTGTACTACAAATGGAGGGGTAAAAACCACAGTGGTGTAAGTCTTTTTAAAAATATTTTCTCGTGTGCATAGATGCAATCTGTACAATATATAAATTGCATCTATGCACTTTGATTGTTATTTTTGATTGTTAATAACCTTTTAATAAACAACGAACGATAACTAAAATTTTTTGAATTTTGCTCAGCCATATCTTCTTAACAATACACTGTACGTCGAAATCATTAAAATCGATGAAATCACCCGAAGGGATCGTAGGGACAAAATACAGAGAACTCACTTTAATAATATTGTTAAATCGTTGTACTTTTCACTAGCAATATTATATTATCCTAAAAACCATGCAGAGAGACTCCCACAAAATGTTATTTATAATTATATTGAATTATATTCCAATAATTTTACGTGAATTTTAAAAACTTTATTCTATAAATAAATAACAAAATAGAAATACAAATTGCATATTATAAAAATATATTTTTATATAAGATTTTCGCGCGTGTTTGATAAATAGGCAATTTTACATTGAATAAACACACAATATATGCTTGCACAAGAGGTACGAAAACTCGCGCATCATAACTATTATTTGTGTCATAATAATAGAGTAGCACAGCCACAAAATTAGGAGGAAAATATCCTACCGCCATCCGCGGAATTTCCTTTGGGAGAATTAGGATGAGCTAAGTGCTGCATAGTAGCTGCACATGGGAAAGGGGACGGGTAAATCAACAAAGTCTCTACATAAAACAGTGCGGAGTGCTTGGCTTTTAGAAGATAACATAATATTGCATATATTCAAAATGTTATGTTTATTATATATATAGATTCTTATAAGAAACACTTATACGGAGTCGTTGTAAATGTAAAATATTTTAACAGTGTTCTCTCTCTCGTACCTTCTATGACAATTGAAGTTGTAAAGAAATGAAGAGATTTATATTTAAGAAATCCTAAATTTTTAATTAAAACGTTTTATATTGGTATGTCTACGTAAAAGCTGTATAAATCGCTCAGACTCGAGGCTGTCGATAAATTTGTGTGTTATGTCGAAAATTCTTGAAGATGGGAGCGTATATAACTTACCTTAAGAGTATTTTGTAGATTTTGTACTCTGCAGTGCATGTAGACTTGGGCGCCGAGCTGTACAGTAATGTTGCTTTCTGGATCCTCGAAAAATGGCCTCGGTTCAGGAGTACCACCTGTTTCAGTCACGAAATTCTCCACCTCGTAAACCTGCGATAAAAGCTAAAATGCATCCGCTCCTTCTATTATTTAACGTGTTTATAATATAATCAAGGAAACACACCGTAGTCTCTTAAAACAACATAAAATAGTTGCAACTGCTATTAATCCCAAGTAATATTTTATCCGAAATACAATAAATGGTGAATATATGAAACATTCAAACGGTGAACAACGATAAAAGCCATCTGAATTAAAAAGCCATCTGAATTAAAAAGATTAAGCAAGTAGACTAACATTGCATTTTCACGAAATGGATAATTTAATTCATTATCGGAGATAAAACGAAATTTGAATATTATTAATGGTGAACCATTTTAATATATCACTTTAATTGTTCTAATTATTGTTTGTTTTACGATAAAATATTTAAAAGTAACTTCCAAGTTTAGACAGAATAATAGAAAAAGTATTTCGATAACATTAATATCTTATTTTAAAAATGTAACAAAAATTGTCTTATACATTATATTTCTTTTCTAAAGAATGTAAAACTATTACTTAACATTTTTCGAAAATAAAAAAACAGCCGAAATATTTGTGGCAATGCATTAAAATAGTCCATCCTAATATATTACGTTAACTGCAACTACGAAAATCTAATAATGTGCGACTTATATACCTCTGTGAAAGGTGAACTAAGTTCGTGCCAAAATGAGCGTGGCAGGTTTTCAAACCCAGGAAATGACTTTCCACCTGCAACAAAATTTAAAAAAAAATTTGATATGTATATTTACTTATAAATAGTAGAAAAATATTGTTTATATATAGCTCTAATAGCATAAGTTATAACAAAGTTTTCTAAACTTATCTCTGTTGTTTTATCTTAGGATTCTGTATAATTAATTCGTGATCGAATTTTTCATTACGTACGTAAAGTTAAATGCAAATATATCCACGAAGTCACAGATATAAAAAAAATTATGATATCGTTTTAAGTTTGCTAAAGTCTTCGAAATATTAAATTTACGGTAGAAAAAGTTATTCGTGATGCATGTACGACATCGGAAAAGATTTTACTTTCCACCCCGATGTACAACGACAGAGAGAATCCCTGCACTTGCCGACATCTTGAATGGCCTTATCAGCAAGAAGCATACGCGACTATGTAACTTCTTGAGACGGTACGCGCAAGTATATTCTCCTTATAAAGTTGCACAACCAATGGCGGATTTCTCAATATACCACGCGTCTCAAATGCAAGAAAGGATTACAATAAAAAAAATATTTTTCTTTATAAAAAAAAGTCAGTCGCGAGAGAAGTTTTTTCACAATCATTTCAACAAAATATTTTAGTTGTAATAAGAGAAAAAACAAATACCATCACGACCATATTTACCGAAAACAAACTTAAATTCGCAAAACCATGTATCTCAACATTGAAACGCAAAAGCGAGGAATAGTTTCGACGCACGCGAATGCATGCGCAGCCGTCGGCGTGTTTTTATTACATTGCACTGAATAAATAATTCTACGAAAATTCGAGGTATACGCATATAGTAAAAGTAAACGTCCCGTTACGAGATGTTTTACAAACAATGCGCGTATTATACGTGCATCTGCCTAAACGGATTTACCCGTAATGGGAAAAAATAAAAAATTCTCGCGAAGTAATGAATATGCATATTACAAACTTGTCTAGCAAACATAAGAATTTCGGATGTTAAAGATTAAAATGTAATCAGAAATTAAATTAATTATCTAAGACCTATTTATAATAAACAATATGATATATATGGCAATTTCAACGCTACTTGATAGAATTTTCGCAACTGCGTCATCTTTTCTACTCTCATCCGTGATCAAAGGCATCAAACATCTCATAAGCATAGCTTTCCCTAGCTTGGCGCGGTACGCGCGCAGATCGAACAGAAAAAAGTAATAAAGCTAGTTTCCCAGCAACGTCAAGCATTTTTCGAAGCGATACCGGGGAAACTGTGCAATCTGGTCTCTTGTAAAGCCCGCACTGTTGAAAGAGACAGGCAGAGTTCAGAAAAATAAAGGAAACCGCAATAGAATTCGGAGAGACCACGCAAGAGGTTGGCAATATCTCTCTCTATCAAATTCGACGATTCAAACGATTCTGCAGGGTTTCCCCGCGGCCGGCTTCGCGAACAGATTCGGTTCGGCAGTCAGAGGAACTTTGCCGAGGATCTTTCTCATCTTTCGAGGATCTAAGAAATCCCGACTATGTGAAAGATGCACTTCGAAATTATTTTCCCAGCTGATCGTCCTCGTGCGCAAGCAACCTCTCTTTCATCTCGCTTTGACGAATTGCCCTGCTTTCTATCTATTTCTCTATCCTCGTCCCAAGGTCTTGACCTAACCATTTCTTGTACAAGGATGGGATAATCCTCGAGAGATGTATCAATTCTCGTAACGTACTAACGTAGCGTGCAAAGGACCTTCCCCCTCACCTGCCCGCTTACCCCAATCTAACAAGTTAAATTCTCTCGCCGCAGAAAGACACCTTGGAAAAGGAATGAGGCAAACGGACTTCTAATATCCGCTAGAAAGACGAAGCACAATCTCCGCGGAAGGGATAAGCCCGGTTACTGGTCAGGATTTCGTTTTAGATACGTTTGCAAGCACGGATTATGTCTCGACACATCAGAAAGTTTGTGAAAGAAACTGTCGCGCGTGAATCCACATGAATCTTGAAAGAATAACGGACAAAGGAAGTCACAGTTGAAAACTCTTCAATTGCAATATTATTAAATGTTATTGAATATATCCTAGAATATAGGTGTATCGAATAGAAATAGGGACACTATCATTAGCTTAAAAACGCATATTTTTTACGTATTGAATTTTTTAAATAAAAATAAAAAAGTAAACGTCTGTCGTCGAATTCTCAAGCCGCCTTGTTGTAATATATTTTCGCGTTACACAAAGACAGCGAGCAGTCGCGCCCAGATCCAATACGCTTCGAAAGTGCCCTATATTATTTCTGTCAAAGGAAAACAGACTTCCGTACCGTTCGGGAAGTATCGTGACCAATTGCACGATTCTCATAGTTCTTCCTTCCCTTCAATTTCAGCATTTCATCCAAACGTTGTAAGAGCCGCCTCGAATCTAAAAGTACGTCGGATCGACCGCGGTTTGTCGCTTGGTACGGCGTCAAATTTATGGAAGCCGTCTGCGCTCGTGGATTTATGAGAATCCAATGCCTTAATTGGAAAATTATAGGACAAGGTCTGGGTACCGATCGTTCAGCTCATAGCTCGTTATTCAGTATAATCTGATTTTCTCCTTTCCAACAACTATGCCTGAACACTTTTTCACTGACAACAAAGACTAGCTTTTCCGCGAGTAAGCCAGAAAAAAAAAACAAATAACGGTACAAAAATTTCGTTCACGTATACACCAAATCCGCTTTTCATGCTTTCATACTTTCTTTTTTAATTTTTAATCCTGTTAGTTTTATCTACGTGGCATTAAACACAGAGTAGAAACATTATCTGTTTCACGATAAAGATTACGAAATTGTTTTCCCATTACAACATCATACGAATATTACAGTATTTTATAATTTACCTAACGTGTTGACAGTGCATAGAAAATATATCTGGTGAACCAAGATGGAGGCCACCACGGCCGAAAGACGACTCAACATCGTAGTCGATCCTCAACTCATTTCTATTCCCAAAGTTGCGTACGCGGCAGCACTATTGTTTATCTGCAAACACAAGAAACAAATATTCATTTAATTTACGATCCTTATTCTAGCAAAAAGATTTTATATTGTAAAACAAGTAAAAGTAATGAACGTGTGCAGCAATTTCAGCTGAATTAATCATCAACGCAAATGTTATGAATATACAAAAACGCCAGCGTGTAAAATGACAACCAATCACAATGTGTTATAATTAACAAGATTACAATTCACAAAGTGAAATCGTCAAACAACATTAAATAGCGATTTGCTTGAACACCAAATATTGCTATCAAATCAAATGGATCCCTTCGGATATCTCAGAGCCAACTTCCTATTTTCCCTAAAGCTTCCGCTTTACTCGCGGTACGCAGAACATTTCGCAATAGAGAAATCACTGCCATATGTATGCAGCGTATACGCAGGGAGTATGGAAAATCGCATCTTTTCGAGAATAAGCTACAAGTACATGAAAGCTACAATATATGAAATCTCAGACGTACCGCATAAAAATTGAAATTCTAGAAAAACCGCAGTAGAATAATTAAAGTGGGGCATATGTAAATTTTTAATTACGACAGTAAATACGAAAGTCGGGCAAATTTGAAAAATCAACGTGGACACTTTAAACAGAGAACACGAAAATCAGAACGTTGGGATGAAATCCTAATTTAATCCGAAGATATGCGCTGTAAATTATACATTCTCGTGCATTATTATTTATAACATCATAAATGCATCGCAATGCATAAAAATTACATTGTTTACATTTTCTTGTTAATTCGTAGAATTTTATTTAAAAACGGGCAATTTAAGATAATCTAACGATGCCTGTACATCGCGTTATTTGTTACATGAACATTATGATACATTGAAATATATCCTAATATATATACTTGTGTTTTTTTTTGTTAAATATAAGTATTTTACATATAAAACCCTATTAAATTTTCAAATAGTTTCTTAAAAAATCGTGTCGGTACTACTCTTTCGAAAATTTACAGAACAAAAAGTTAGCCCTCGGCAGTGACACGGTCCCTGCGGCGCGATCTTTTCAAATACGTCGTGATCGAGTTACGCTGGAAGAAGGTTGAACCCGTTCAATGAGGGGAGCAAGATCGCCATGGCCGAGACGACTATGAAGACGCGCGGATCCCGAACACAAAGTGAATCAACCGGTCGCTCGAAGTCAAACAGAAGATTGTTACCGCGAAATTTCGCGTGATTCAATTTGGCCGGAAGTTCGGGGGGTGGAAAACACGGTTGCGCGACCCGACCGACAGTTCCGCGTGAGAGCGAGGGAGCGCCGAGCGTCGGTTTGCTCTAACGAATCTATCGACAAGTTTGGGATTTCTACAAGCCCCGCGGCAGCTCTTTCACCGGCTGTCACTTTCCACGTGCAGCGTGTATCTTCTCTTTCGATTCGCCATACTCACTGAAAAAAGACAGGGTCTTTTATATCCTCTACGATCCTCGCCTTCCGTGCTCGCGGAACTAAGAAGGGACAAGCAATTTTCAGTTTTCCTGAAACCCGGTAACCCGAAGGACCTGTCGCTTATTCGCGAGTTTCAAATTATTTCACCATCTAGCGCAGGTGCCGGCACCGGTAACGAGTTGCGGCGCCGCGGCGCCGCGCTCGCGCCAGCAAATAAAAGTCTCCCGTATCTAACTGTTCGTCGTTGTTTGTACTAGACAAACTGCGAACTACGTACGCGAATCAACGGTACGAAAAGCGAATCGGAGAGACGGCTGTGGGGGATTCAGTGGCCGGAAAAACGAAGGTAAACGCTGCCGCGTCGTTGAAAAACGGGTTTGCCGCGTCAGCGAATGACCGGATAGGAATTATTTTTGATAATTCAACAACGGTGTTTTGCCAACATAAAAACATTTTCGATTTATTTTCGTCACGCGCTTATTTTTCACTCGTTTATCAATAAGCCCCTGAAAAATCGCGTTTCCACATGTCGGTGATAATAATGGAGGTATAAGCGCGTATTTCGAAAATTCGATCGCGGTCGATTCGATGCCGATACGAACCCTGTTCCAGGGTTCTTGTCCGCAAACAGATAAACAAATCCACGCCTATAGGCCGCGAGGTTTGCACAAATAGTATGGTGTGACGCGTACTTTATGGTTGTGTAGAACATGCCCTCGGTACGTTGTAACGTACTTGTTCCGCGCGCTTGTTACCGGTAACTAATGTTCTACCCGCCCATTCGATAGTGCGATCCGGCCGATTGGCAGGGCACGGGAAGACCCGCTGGACCAGAAAGAGAGCGAGCGATTGAGCAAATTACGACACGTAGATTGCGAGCACCAACCGGAGCTAGAAGTGATCAGTATACTATCGCGGCATCGGTAGACGAAATGAACGGAGCACGAGGATCAAATTTTCTCGTTTTGCAATCGGCAACTGAACGTACGTGCAATCGAAACGATCGCCAGCCGATCAGACTGCACCCGAAAAACACGCTGTAAACACATCATGGTTCTTTTTATCCGTATTCCAGAAGTTTCTTTCTCCCGCGCTGATATATATATATATATATATTTTTTTTTTTCGTATCACGATATCGAAACGTAAAAACACAGAACCACGGGAATTTCAGTAATAGTAGGCAGCGCACTGATAAGCTTCCCACATCGCGACAAGAGAGAATATTTCATCATGTTTGACTTTCCCTCTCTCGGATAACTTTCTCGCTGTAATATGCCGTTGATTACAATAAAGGTGTATAACTTTCGTACTTGTGTCAATGTTAAAATTTAATTCCATTAAAGTTCGGAACTTTATTAAGATATGCAAGTGATCAGTCGATCGCGAAAATTATCTAATAACATCGATGTTATGAGGTAAGTTGGGAAACAAGAGTTTGAGAGCGCTTCCTTAGATCATCCTAAACTAGGAGTAAACCTCCTGCGTGTTTTCAATGCAATTTATACCGCGATACTCGTTTGAAAATATAAAATAGAGATTACTTTATGTGCACTGACACATAAATGAAAATCAAAAAAATCTAGAAAAAATTTTACGCGACGCCCAACCGCACTTCTCTTGCGAGTGGCTGTTTCCTTTATCGTTACTCTGCCATACTCGAGGCGATCGATTTTGACAATACGACATTCCGCAATCGCAACTTCAGCCAATGTTTGCTCAATAAACTTCCCAAAAGCCAACGGACCAACCTAGCCCGTTGGCCCTGAACGTAGAGGTTATTAATCGTGAGAATTGTGCGGCAGCACGATTTAAACCGATAGGTTTAAACGAGAACCCCAGATTTAAATTGTCTTATGAAAGTACAAAGCAAAAAAGAATGGTATATTGTTTTAAAATAGCGTAAAACATTGACGCTCAATATGTCCAGTATGTACACTTCATACCCCGTATGCGGAAATGAATTTCATTTTAAAGTCAAACTTTGTCTCATTAATATTATACTTCATTTCCAGCTATTTTATTCGTGTCAGAAGTAGTAGTCTTGTATCGCGATAAGTTCCGATGAAGAAAAGAAGGGAACGTGTCAGATCGATAGAGAGTTTGAGGGCAGATCCGGATCCGGGTAAAAAGTTGCATCGGGTCACGACGCGTTGTTTGTCGATGACGCTTTGATGTCCGATGACAACAATGAAGTAGTTGTGGCTACAATGGACCACCCTATGATAAAGGTGGAACAGCTGCGTGTCGTGGTCGGACAACACGGCCGTGTCACGTAGAACGCAACCGTACTCGTGCCAACGTGGGCCATAAGGTAGACTGCATAAATTTGTGTCAAAAAAAATCTCCGTGGAGGAGAGAGTATCGCTGAGAGAAATTTTCATTTTACTGCGCGCGAGCTTCGCGTATCGCCTAAGAAATAGTGACAGCTACAATTTGATTGCGTTTAAATGTATTGATACGACTTTACTCCCCGTTGGGTACGACGCTCATGCGAATTTATGGCGGCACTTTCGTTCGCGAACTTTTACAATGATCGTTCCTAACGCGACTTTGACGATACATTACAATATACGATAACGCGTAACAGTAGAATCAACAAAATGCGCAACGCATGTACTGCGCTATCGCAATACCCTATCACTGGGCGCATTGCAAACGCGGTCTTTTCTCCATTTGGCTGCCGACCATCGCGTTTCAAATGCACGAACTGCGCTCCAGCTCGACAAATGCCCGTTACCGCAGCTATACCATAAAGGCCGTCCTAACGACAGTTTGATGGAACAAAATAAAATTTTTATATCCCCTTCGCCAGTTACACATGCCTCACATTAAAATTTTATTAAGATTACTACGTATAACGAAATATATAACGAAGTGATAATGTAAGCCGTATTGTAAGCTATACCCTCTCCGCAGGGATTTTCCGCAGGGATATGACTGATCCGCACAGTCATTTGGGCTTAGCAAACCCACGGACCCGAGCTCAACACACTACGGACACTCAACTAAATATTACATACGCACATATATATATATGTACACACACACACATCCATATACACGCGTATTTATGAGTGATATATAGTGAAGTGAAAAGAAGAAATATGGAAAAGTAGAAATGAAGGATAACTTGGATAACTTAGTAGAAGAAAGATAATTAAAGTCCTAGATGTATTCGTATTAAAAAACTTTATTGAGTTGGAAAACTACAAAAACTCGAAGAGAAGAACGCTCTCGGTAAAAAAATGTTTTTAATGGAAATCCACGGGAGTATCATGCTGACATTTTCATGCACGTTGTCAATTTAGAGCGCAGTTTATTACGCGTACAAAAGCGCGGCTAAACGGTAGCGTAAGCTCTTTGAATGGAGGAGATAGCTTAAATTCATCAAACGCACCATTGAGCCGGCAGCAGCTCAGCAAGGAGCCTTCACAACCGTTCCCCGCGCTCCTCTAATACCAAAGTGGAATTGTCAATTCACAATTCCATTGATGCGTCCGCGTGCGCATATCCCGCCGGCGCCCCTTCAACACCGATCTGTTAACGGCCACGGTAACAATTACCGTTTCGATTATCTCCGTCGCGT